CTAGGCGACCGCCTAGCTCGCCTATGCCTAGAAACGGCCCTGGATGGATGGACGGATAGACAGACAGACAGACAGACAGACAGATAGTTAGATAGTGAAGCTTGTGATAATCTAATAGGCATGTTTTATAAATCTGTTCGAGCACAAACAGTTTTCTGCACCGATGACTGATTTCATGTGTTTATTTTCTTCATCATCTGTGTTTTGGTGTCGTTTGAAATCTGTACTGACTGAAAAGGCAGATGGGTTGAATACGGCACATTCGTCAGTGTCTGTCAACAGCTGGAGAGCTTTATTATCATGCAAAGTGCATAATTGTTGCATTTTGTCTGCTGATCGAAAGACACCTGCTGATTTCTGTTCATTACAAATTTATCTGCTGCTATCTGCTGGATGGAAAGAAAGAAATCTGTAACATATTGAGCCAAAAAACTACACATTTGCTTGAGATACTTAATCTTGGATAAATTCCTTTGTATTCCACTGAAGAAAAATAGTCATAAAGGTCTGCAACAACATGAGGGTGAGAAAATGACAACAAATACTGCATTAATTAAAGCTTAATTATTCCTTTAACTACAAAATGTTGTCACCGACCATTTTTTATCCATAATGACAAAACTATGTAAACTATTTAAAAGAGCCATAGAATATGACAGGTCAAATATGTGATAAATAAACACTTTATTAGTTTTTCTGTTTTGAAGACAAAATAAATGTAATAAGTTACTTTGATATGTAATTTTTTTTATTTTTATTAATTTGCTAATCTATGGAAAACAAAACAGACACCCACATCAGACACCAAATCTTCTGTGATGATATTATCAACAGGCAGTTTGAAAGTACAGTGCAATATGGTAGTCATGATTTATGCAATCAAAATAGGTTGCAGTTATTGTTTGTGAGAGATGTCTGTCTGTAGAATGCACCCCATTTCTAATTGCTTTCTAGTCATTTTGAAGTTTATAGCCTACTTTCAGTAGGCTAATCCTGAAATTTGAAAATGCTAACCCCTTTGGAGCACTTTGAGCTTGATTATATGTAAGTCATGTGGTTATCGCACAGGTGATGTTATATGCTTGTACAGCTTGAGCAGAAAGGTTCATTTCTTCTTGAGGAGGTTGTTACAAATCCAATTCATACCATCCTGAAAATACACAAAGAAGATGGAGGAAGATTTAGATGGTGGCTCCACCAGGTAATCAGTTCTTACCCCTCAGACTGCTATAATGTAATAAGATACAGTATTAGTTGTTTTCTAGTAGCTAGTTGATTCTATCTGACCCGTTAGTGCCCCCCTGCTGTCCCTCACCTGCACACCCTCTCCTGTGACCGCTGAACAGGCCTGGATCTGCCAGACTCGGTCTCTGTACGTGTGCAGGTTCAAACCCTCGGCGATCTCGCTGGCCGGAGACGCAGTACACAGATCCTGCTTATTCGCAAAGATGAGTATGGGAACGCCTGCGAGGTTCTCCTCATCTATCAGCTCTGACAGCTCCTACAGACACACATGTAACACGGTCATTCAAATTTAGATCACAATATCCAGTGGCCTCCAAAAGTCTGTAGTCAAATGCTGCCAGTCTGTCTTCTAATTTGAATATATTAACATTCCTGAGGTACATGTAACACTAGGTGAGGTGTTGTTGCCAAGCTGTTTTATTTACATCTTTCGTGACTGAAACCCTGACTAGGTGATAGACAGACACAGAGACAGACAGACAGACATAACTTTTCATTAAAATGTACAAGATCCTAAAATTGTATGTTTATTTGCAGGTTTAAACAGATTTTGAGTAAAGTATCAGACCCCACTATGTTGTACCCTATTTTAAAAGTGTAATTTAACACAGTTCAACGCTAACATACAAGTAACAAACAAACAACCTTTATCCTGTGGGAAGATTCTAGGAATTGTATTTGCATATGTTTTCCTGCCTTACCAGTCCTGTTTCCTCAAACCGCTTCTTGTCAGCGCTGTCTATGACATAAACCTACAGATGAACCAACAAACTTGTTAGTTA